TATATACGCCTTGCCGGGGTTTGTGATGGCCAGTTGAGTGCTTTGAGAGTTGCACATTGTGGGCACTGAATGTGTCCCCAGCCAGCATTGTAATAACCGTCGATGGTTATATCGTTAACTTATATATGCTGGAAGAGGCGATTGGACCAAAGGTCCTGGTAGCATAATTGACAACACATCTGCACGATAAGCAGGAGTTGCGGGTTTGAGTCCCGCTTTGGGCTGATTCTTTTCTTGCAGTAATTCTAAAATTATTATTTAAATTATTTAATTAATTTATAATTATTAAATTTAACAAGAGATGGTGTATAACACTTAACTCTAATGCCAAATTATTTATTAAATTATTAGTAATATAGCCATTTCTAGCCCGATAATATACGGCTTTGGTTGATGTATAGTAGTAAAACACAAAAATACATTTGAAATAAATGTGTATTAATAAATAATAATAATAATAAAGGAGAAAATAACAAGGATAAAAAATAAGGTTGGTGTGCCAAAAGTCATAATAAGAAGTCTCCCTAGGTTACATGAAATTTAACTCAAAGCTCTCCACACTGCAAATAGGGTGTTAATATATTTGTGATTGATAGCATGCCCAAGATAAATGGATTTGTAAATATGTAATGCTTCTACATGCTGGATACAATATCAACTCTAAATCTGAATGATTTGGCCTGGCCACAGTTAACACTGATGAAATTGGAATCAGAAAAGGCACAAGTCTTCATGTTTATGGCTGGATGAGACTTCCAAATGTCATCTTGATGCTTCTTTAATCTTGCATGTAGAGATCTCAGGGTGGCCTCAACATGTTGTAAGTCATTATAACTCACTCTGTGATCTGTGAATAGTATAAACATCCACAGATCATGAGACTATTTGTCATTAAATAGCATTTTGTATATAGTAGGATTTCTTTTAATCCTGCAGCCAGTAGCCATGCTAATCTTACTAAGGAGGGGATAAGCATAGTCAATTACCATATAGTCAGCCTTTGTGATAATCTTTGGTTTGTTGCTCATGTGACAATGCATGAAGTGCCCCCTATGCTTTGGCAACACGGGACCAAAGGGTCGACACTGCATTTGCAATGACTACTTTGTTAGGACTGACACTTCCGTGTCTTTCGGCAGACAGAGAAGCCTTGTTAGCGATAGTTTTGGTTTTTTGCAAGGGGTTGCGTTGTATGCACTTAGTTCCAACTCGAAAGTTGGCACGGTTTGAGGAAGTGCACCAAACACAAATCAAACAGTAACAAATTTCCATTTATTTACTGTAATTACCTAAATGTATACAAGCAAGTCTAATATCTTGCATTTAAACCTTTGTCCTCGATGTTAACTAGTTCATGAGTTCGAAGTTGGAGAGGGAGAGTTTACATATAAGGTTCATAGATACCTGATAAGGGATCTGAGGTGACTCAAAGGTTTGATGGAGTTCACTTTTATGGAGTTCACTTTTATGGAGTTCATGCAGGATGGAGGAAGGTTACTAAGGTATCCAATTGTTGAGGTAACTCTGACTAGGGCGAACTTTCGGTGGCACTGGACTCTTGGATGAATGAACTGTTCCCTCATCGGCAGACTAACTCCTGGTAAGATGGACAAACTGTTGTCGTCATCAGTCATTGCCTTTTATTGGGGTCTTCCCTCTTTTCTCCCTTGCCCTTTTTTGGCAATGTTGCAGTACCTATGTCCAATAACAATTTCTTGTCATCAAGTTCCTGGTGACACATTTGATGTATCATCTTGAAAGGGAAGTGACTCCACAGAGGAATAAAATCATATCCTATACAATTTTAACAATTGTGGGGTAAATTATAGAAAGTTTTAAAATTCAAAATCAAACCTGGACTCTCACACTCATTTCCAATCAGAATCTGATGGATTCTGATTGGAAATGGATAAGGGATTTTATAATCCTAGGCTTAAAACTAAATCGTTAACCATGGGATTTTATGAAGTACAACTCATGCATTCTATTTTGGACATCCTGACAATGTGTGTGGGCTCTTCTAATCAGAGCCCAAAGGGCACTAGCTTGTAACGGGCAGCAAGCTTTAATAACAAAGTTACTCTTTATTTCGTTCTTACTTAAATATTATATTGTAGGGTATAACTGAAAAGTATTAGACTTCCTAATGTGGTTTCCCTTAGCCTCTTGTTGAAGTGCCAGGAAAGTTGAACAAGAGCCCTTCCTGGCTTTTATTATTATTATAAAAAATATACATTCTCTGTATTTGTTTATTGATTTATGCAAATGATTGATTGATGATCATTCATAGAATTGTAAGACCTATACATCAGTTTGCTGAATTTTGTCATTTGTTACATTGACTTGAAACTTGCTCTATATTTGAATTTTATTTGTAAATTATTATAATCTTAATGTAAAGTAAGAGACATCTTTTGTCTGTCTTCATTATATTTTTTTTATCTGTCTTCTTCTCAGCAATATTAGTTACTTAATAAACACACCTGATTTATATTTGCTGAGTTTTTTCTTTATTCTGAACGTTTTCAGCCTATTTGGATAGGCCATCTTCAGGCTTTTACAATCATCGTTCTAATGGAACTATTTGTTCAAATTTCATTTGAATTTGAACTTTTAACAACTTATGTATATACAAGAGTAAATAAAATAACTAACAGTAATATCAAAACGTGTTGCAACTTAACAAAAACACGAAAAAACATAAATTAAAAATAAAAAAACAAAAATATAATCTCAAATCATGTTACAATTTAACAATGTATTAAAAACAGAAATTATATCAACTTTAAATGAGTCTAAACTACTAATTCCTATAAACCAGGGCTTCTTAAACTTTTTTTATTCACGACCCCATTTATGATTGTAATTTTTTTCGCAACCCAAAAATATAAAATAAAGATATATACAAATTTGCAAAAACAATAATGGTGTGCTACCACAGTTCACTCTTGTGTTACAATGGAACAGAGACAACTGAATACACTGAAAAGTGACAACACTACACTAGTTCACACTACAATCAGTGTTGCTGAATCATTGTCTCGCTGCACCAGAAGTGACACAAAGCGCAACTCACGAAACTTATGACACAAAGCATGCCTCACTTTCAAACTCTCACAAAATATTTTCAAAATTTTGCATTAAAATCTCGCAACCCCAAGATTTCGCTAAGTGACCCCAAATGGGGTTGCGACCCATAGCTTAAGAAGCCCTGCTATAAACTCCAGATCAAAAAAAAAATTTTTTTATGGATTATTAAAACCCATATTTTTTTCAATTTTGTATTTCCAAGCTGTTGGTAGTGCATTTGCATCTTTTGCATTTAGGCATCTGTTCCTCATTTTACTTTTGTAAATTTCTATTTTTTCCATTTCCATCGAGACAGACGGTGAGTGCCCCGTTCTAACAATCTTCGCTTCATCCCATTTGACCACTGGTCCATTTGACTGTGCCATACTTGCCAATATCTTTTAATTAATTAATTAACATTCTGTAAATATTGCATTCAATATAATTGAAAGTTAATGAAAAACTTTTTTAAATTTTAAATCAAAAAATCTCAACTTTTAGGAATTCAATGTACATTTTTGAATCTAATTTATGATGTAGAATGCTCAATGCAATTTCTTCTATCTTTGACATTTGATTAATAGGCAATATTTTTTCTATAGTTAAAAAATCTTAATTTCATTCATATTAAAATTAGGTAGTTTTAAAAGATGATATTAGAATTTTTATATTTCCATTCTTTAAAATAATCAGATTTATTGACAACTAACTACAAGTTCAGATTAACTGAACTGGTAGAATCTATTACCAGCTAATTCTCTCGTTCAAAATACAAAATTTATTTTAATATGAACACAATGAAAACTTTGTAGCAAAAAGTATATACAGGTAACTCCCGTATAACATGGTAGTTACGTTCCAAAAAATTGCCATGTTATGCGAATCCGTGTTATACGAAACAAAGAACTAATACGAAAAGGGGGGTTAGGTTCCAAAAATTAAAAAACATGCTAGTATATTTTCATAATTAAGATAAATATCTTCATTAAAATTTTTTTAAGTGATACATATTAATATAAATTAAACAATGTTTTCTTCGTCATCACTAAAAACACTATTAATTAACCGAGAGCGTTTTCTTTTTGGCAAGTTATCCTTATCCTCTGAGCATTTTTCTGCATTATCTTCAGATCCATGCTTTACCTTTTGCAAAATGTATGTAATTTTAGATTGCTTGCTTCTAGTTAAAAGGTCTTTATAAATTTCCTTATATGGTGCTAAGCACTTATGAAGAATAAAGCAAGTATGGAATAAGGGAAAAACATTCGGCAACATCAGAAGCAGAAGCGTTGCGATCTGGCAACATTGAAACAAGTTTTGAGAAGGACCACGTGTATTGACAGAAGGCGAGAAGAGAAAATTTACATACTTAAGTACTAATAGTTCGCGAAAAAAATAATTTTTGTGAACTATTATTACTTAAGTATGTAAAAATTTATTACATTTCCTGTTGTACGAGGGTTTTACCCAATTCTCGAATCGTGTCAGAATGAATCCGTGCTATAAAAGTACCATGTTATACGGGGGATGGTACCAATTCTTGAACCGTGTTAGAGTGAATCCGTGCTATAGAAGTGTCGTGTTATACGTAGTTACCTGTAGGTTACCTATAGCTACAAAAGTATAAAACATTATTCATTCATGATGTATGACATCATTAGACATTGACTGTATAGTAATACTGTTCTTTTCTAGTTAATTGTAGAAACATTTGTATTAGTAAATTGAATTAAATATTGGTTCTGCACAATTCTAATTAATAAATTAAACAATTCTAATTTGTATTAATGTGAATTATGAATCAATGTAATGTAATAGTTCAAGGTTATAAACGGTACCTCCTTAATGATCTTATATGTTGCTATGAGAAAAATAATTAAAGTTTATATCATGTATCTATTCAACTCTTGATTTATTTTTTTTCTTTTCAGATTAACAACAATACTTCATTATAATTCAGAACTTATTATTAATTAATATTGGTAAGTACAGTATATTTCAAAATTTATTTTAATGAATTAAGTTTATTAAATTTTATTGTATAATTTTGAACTAATTTTTCCTTGTTTATTTAATAGTCATCATATTGGTTTTTTTATAATCTTCTATGTTTATGTTCTTTGAAACTGATAGATGTTTTAATCTTACATTAATAAAAAAAAATGAAATTAAGATATCAAAAGACTAACATAATTATATTGTAAAATCTGAATGGTTAGATCAGTGATATCAATATTGGCATAAGCTGGAACTATTCAGTAACTAGAGACACACAAAATACCTTACATATTTTTCCAGCAAATTATTCTTTAATCAAACTAATGTTTTTGGCTTTATTAATAAGCTTTCATCGGGTTTTTTAAAACGAAATTCAATTTGAAACAATATTTAAAATTCCATTAATTTTAGAACAATTTTACATTTACATTATTTTAGAACAGTATTACATTTTCTTTAAAATATATAAATAAGTTATTAAGTTACAGATAAAATAAAATATAAATTTAAAAAATAATAATATACTAAAAAATGTACAATTAAGAATAAAAGTAAATAAAACAAAATCATCTTTTTGCATTGTATTACAATTTTTTGCCAGTTTTCTAAGGAGGCTATCAAATAGTGATCTTCTCACATAGGATAGCAATTCACAGTCTCTGCTGTTAATGCAATGTTCTGTTAATGTAGATTTAAATATTTCTGCTATTGTTAGTTTTCATTTGTCATATTCTCACTTTATAAATTGGACCCTGCTGAAATCTGCTGACACCCTGGGTTTGGCTGCATATTGAGCAAGAGTGGTTTTTAAATTATTTTTGTTGATATTGTATTTATGTGGTGTGCTTCAAGAGATGGCTAAGTGTGCCACAAGTATTATAAAAGTATATTTTAAAAATGAGAAGAAATTCAGGCTAGTCTAAGAAAGTCTCAGGCTAGGCACTCTTTTCCTCGATTCAACGTTGCTGTATATCCAAGTTTTGAATTCGTTGGCCAACCAATCAGGAGCTGAGCTGAGCTTTCTATCAGGTCTGCTCCGGTTGACATCCTGTCTCGACTTGTCCAGGATGACTCGTCAAGTGTCACTTCCCAAACCACGTTCTTTGACATGTGAAAACTTGACCTATCTTATTACTACAAGATAGGCCTTCTTGATGCAGAGGTACTTGATACAGAGGTTGCAGTTTCAAGGCTTGCTTTCGGGCTAGTTCTTTTCTTTTGAAATGTTTTAAATTATTTAATAAATTATTATAATTATTAATTTAGATAAGAGATGGTGTCTAACGTTTACCTCTAGTACCAATTTACTTAATTGCTAATTATAAATTATGGCATATTAATAGCCCAATTATTTATGGCGATTGTTTGGTTTAGTATTAATACATTGGGTTTCAGGAAGTTGATATTTACTTTCAGAATTGTAAACTTTTGTAATTAATTGAACCTTTCTGACTGATTACGCACTAATCCTTTCCTTCAACAACCACACTAGCATTATTTATTATCTACCACTAATTAATCATCAAAATAAATGCAGATTGTCTATAAGAGATGCTTTTTTTTAATCCAGATTTAACCTTTAGTTCTTAATAAACAACAATCTATAAATAGGGACTTTAAAAAAATGCTTTTGTGCTCTAGTAAATTAGGAACTGTTGTAATTTTTTTTAAGACTGTCTTAATAAAAAAAAACTAGAAAAGAAAAACATTTTAAAAAGTTGTTTAAAATTAGTTATCCATTTGATAATGTAGGGTTTTATTTCTATTTTGTATAATAAATAAATCTGATTTATATATAAAAGATATACTGTTGAAATCATAGATTAAAAAAAAAAGCAATTAAATTTCAATGAACTTTGAAAGGTATAAATTGTTTTCTATTTAAATATTTATTCATTATTCTGTAAAATTTTCGTTTTGGAAAAGTGTACTGTATATCAGTGATTTAGTGTATATTTTCTTTGGCTAAATTTAATTTTATTATTTAATGTAGTTTACTAGAATTGATATATAAGCAATTTTCTTTCATTTAAATCTAATCATTATTTATCTTACTTTTTTAAATATTTAAAATGTGATAATTTCATCATTATGTTTGTTTAAGCAATTGAGAAATTATTTTTGGTGTTTGTTTTCTTGTAATTATAATTTGAAATATATTTAGTTGTCATTGAACTAGATATAAATGATCACACTTTCATTCAATAAACAAATTTAATGACTAATATCCTTTCATTAAACAATGTCATATGAATAATATCCTTTTATTAAATGAATTTAATATCAGATTTATTTAACTGAAAGGATATTTTAGTTTTAATATATTTATTTTATATATTAAAAAAATTATTAAAAAATAATTTAATAATAATTTTGAGTCACTAGACAATTATCAATAAAATCATGCTACCATATTAAATTTCTTTAATGCATTTATTCATTTACATTTTAAATTTCCAAAGACTTTGTTTATTTTCCTTTTGAGATAAACTCAATTTAATTGCAGCCTTGCTCTCATTATTTAAAAAAATCTTATGAAAATAATTAATTGCATCATATATATTATAAATATTTAAAGGATACAATATATAAATGTTTATAACTTTGATTACTCTCATTTTTGCAGATTTCAAGTATGTTAACATTAAATATATAGTATAGAAATTTTATTTAAATTGTTAAGACTTTACTACTACTACTAATACTACTACAGAAAATTATGAATTTATTTTTAATTTTTCTTTCAGATTTTTGAAACATTAAGCAAAATTTAGCTTTCTTTAAATGTGATTATTTTACCTGTGTTTGCAATGTGTATAATCTGATGGCAGCTGATGGAAACAGTTTTGAAGAATTCCAATTGGAACCATTTATTCATCAGGTAATAGAAAGATATAAAATTGACAAATTTTTGAACAAATTGATAAATATTTTCATTCCAGATTTTTCTAATATCTTAAATATTAATATAGGATAGTAAATATTAATCATAATTATTTGAAATGCTTTGCAAAGTGTATATTTTTCAATTAAGAATTGCATACAAAGTTTTTATTCAGAAGTTAAGAATAAGCTGTGAAGATAACTTGTTTTGTTTTATTACGTACATAACATTATGAATTAGAACTCCGTTGGAAAAATAAGTTTATTATAATAAAATATACAGATAATTACAACATCAAATACATAATTTTTATTAATTAAATTGTGTTAAATTTTTATGATTGTATTAACAATAGCATCAAATAATGATTGATATTAATAGAATTATTAAATACTAAGAATAAACACAGTCAATCATGGGTATTTACTAATGAACACACAAAAGTATTTCTATATTAGATTTCAAATAGATCTTATTGATTTATTATGTTTTTCAAATATTTAAAGAAAGCAATTTAATATTTTCATATTTAATTTAGTTTACATTTTTATTACTTACATTTAATTGTATAATTTGCAATTTGAGTCTGAAGAAAAGATAAATAGCTTTTGTTGATATTATCATATTTTTATTAAAGTTAGTTAACTTTCCAATATTGAACTGTTTAAATCAGTTACAAAAATCTGCAATAAGACAACTCTAATGACAAGACATTGAGAATATATATTAAATTTTTTTAACTAATGATTCATAATTAAATCTTTGTATTATTTTGTCCTTTTATGTTTAAAACATTTAGAACAATTTTCTTCATAATAATCTTAATGAAGAATGTAAGATAGATGTTATGTATTTTATGCTGTTTAAATGCATCATTGTTATTAAATGTTACTGTTAAGAAAAATGTTTTAAAAATAAATAAGTAATAAAATTATCATAAATTAGAATTAAAAGAAACAATTTATTTTTCTTTATTTGATAATAGAGTAAATCCCAATCCTGATAGAAGTATTAACAGAAAAAAAAAGGCTATTTAAAAATTGTAATGAATTTGATTTTATTTATTTAGAATTATGCTGCTGTCAATGGCAAAAAACCAGACTTGTAGATAGTCAGGAGACTGAGAACTGGGTCAAAATATAATAAAAATGGTGAGACTTTCTACAAACAGGCATGAGTGCAAGATTTGCGCATGCATTGCTTGTGCTCTCTGAGACAGTCTCATCCCAAGAATGGCTCGCCATTTTACTTATTTTCTTCATCAAACAGTTTATCATCTACACAGTTTAAAAATAATGAAATTTTTTTACAAATTTAATTACATGATATGGAAGATACACATTCTACTTCCTAACTATATTTAATATATTTATATCATTTCTTGTTTATGATACTATACATTGCAATATATTATTGAAATATTGAATTATAAAATATTTTTAATATTAATCAACCAGTAGTAAAGTATCATAAAAATAATCTAATTACTTTGTCAGATGATATAATTATATCATTATTTAATTATATCATTTGACAAAGTAATTATATATAAGATGAATGCATTAGAAAAGCTTATGATAATAAAGGTTATAAATTTTAAAGAGAGTTTCGATTTTGACTGTGAATATCATGAAATTTCTATCAAATCAAAGCAATTGTTTAAAATTTAGCTGCAGATGGACAAAAAGAATCTTATAAAATTGTTTTATCTGATAAATGATGATAGTAAAATTTTGATCCTCAGTCTGCTCTTCCTCACTATTATGAATGAGTATTCTGAGTAAAGATTCTGTAATATAACTAAATTTGAGTTAGTTCAAAATGCACTTCCATGCCCAAGATAATTGTCAAAACAACAATTTTATTTAAATTATATAGTATACATATATTTAAATTTACAATATATATATTTTTTTATATAGTTTATCATTGCTAAACTAAAATATTAAAATATACAAATAAACATTTTCAAATAAAATTATAAATAAAATAGATTAAAAGCAAATCAAAATTCAAGAAGTTGATACCTCCCTGTGTTTGGAGATTTTTACAATGATGATAAAATCATATTGTATATATCATAAAGATTTTCCTCTGTGAATAATGAATGCAACAAAATCTTGAAAAATATGTTTTCCTGATATCTCAAATTTCTCACAATTGAATTTTTGATAAAGAAAATGATGAAAATAATAGTAAGAATTTCATCATTTTCTATATCTAAAATTCAATTATATTACATGATGTAGAAGATACTCAGTTTGATCTTTATCACATATTCAAAATTTATGTATTTAGTTTGTGATAGTGAGCTTTGAATCATACTAAGAAATTCTTTTAGCATAAGTTCTATTATTATTATTATTATTATTACATTTTTAAGATCTTTATATCAAATTAAAAGATTTATTTGTACCAAAATATTCATTTTATCTTAGATATCACATTTTTCTTATTGTTTATTTTTATGAATATTAATTTTTTTTAATACAGTGAAGCATTGAAAATCTGGATGTCAAAAAAGTTTACTTAAAATCTGTTTGAAAATTAAATAAAACTATTTTTATTTTAGGTTGGTGGGCAGTCTTCCATTTTACAACTGGATGACACAACAATATGCAAATATCTCAATTTACAGGAATTAAATTTTTACACTTCTATTCCTGACCAATTAAAAGCACTGGTTCCAGATTTTAAAGGTAATTTTGTTTCTATTCTCATTTTTAAGTGAAAAAAGTTATAAACAATAAACATATTTTTAGGAGTTGTTGAAGTTAATTTTACTGAAGATAGTGATGGATTTTTGATGCTAACTGCTCATCCTTCTGATAAATTTATATTGAATTCTCATTTGCAAACCTTACAACAAAATAGAAGTGAAAAAAAGACTAAATGCAGGTTTGTTATATTAAACTATTAGATGCTTATGTAACATTTATCTATTATTAATTAATGTTATTATTTCAGAACAAGTAACTTTTTTCTGTTTTATTTCATATATTTTTATTTTCAATTATATTAAGCTACTTCATATGATACAATTTAATTTCAATCATTTAAATAACTTTTTTAATCCATTTTTTAAAGATATCAATATTTTCACATTGTACATGACAAGTAAAATCTGTTACATAATTTAACCATTGGCTTAATTTATTTTTTTTTTCATTTAAAGTTTGAACATTATTGAATATTAAAATTTTTAGTCTTATTATATAAATNTGTTTAACGCGTCACTAAATAAATTTTTATGTATTTTTAATCATATTCTAATGAAATGTTCAAGTTTTTTTTGTATCTGGATCTAAAATGGCAATTAAATAAAAGTAAGACTAATTGCAGTCGACTGACAAAAACTAAATCATATAACAATTATTCAACAACAGACATCTTATCAAGAATAAAATTAGTATTACATATACATTCTGTCAAATAAATACCAGGAATTGTTAAATAAAATACAAAATATTGGTTTAATTATCCAAATTTATTTTGTCACCTTCAAAATAGGCCTGGTTTGATGTAAAACACTTTCGCCAATGAACAGTCCAGTCATCAAAACACTTCTTATAAGTGCTTTCCAGTATGGCCTGCAGCTCCCTCTGCAAATTTTGCTTTATTTTTTCAATCAACTCAAAATGTTTCCCACAAAGTGGTAATTTGAGTTTGGGGAAGAGGAAAAAGTCACACATGTGATGAGTAAGGTACATGGTTGATGACATTCATTGTGTTTTTGGTTAAAAATTTGCATACAAGGGTCGATGTATGAGATGGCATGTTATCTTGGTGCAACATCCAAGAATTGTTCGTCTACAAATCTGGCCTTTTCTGACAAACATTCTCTCTCAAATGCCTCATAATGCCAGGGTAATATTGTTTGTTGACTTTTGTCTTATTGGAAGAAATTCCACATGGACAATACCAACAACAGTCAAAGAAAACAGTCAACATGACTTTGACTTGGTTTTGTTTTGTTTTGTTTTTTTTTTTTGCTCATTCTCAAAGCACCACTCTGAAGCTTGTTGGCTGGTTTGCATGTCAAACTCATGCAGGTGTCAAAACCCACATTTTGTCACATGTTATGATGCATTTCATGAATGTAGGATCTGAATTGGCTCATTTAAGCATGTCTTCAGCAACATTTTTTTAGTGCTCTTTTTGAAGAAAGTTCAGCTCCTTCAGAACAAGTTGTGCTACAACATGTCTCATGCCCAAAACATCAACTAAAGTGGTGCAAACAGATTTGTGAGACATGTTTAGATTATGAGCCTTCTCTCTCGGGCTTGAATGTCAATTTTCCATTACCATTTCCTTCACTTTGTCAATGTTTTCGTCAGTTGAAGATGTTGAAGGTTGACCAGTATGATAGTCTTCCACCACTTCTCGGCCATCTTTAAATGCTTTGTATGCACATGTTTTGGATAAAGCTAATTCACCATAGGCCTTCTGCAACATTTTCAATGACTCAGCACAAGAATGGCAACACAAAATTTTAGACAAACTCTTTTTTGTTCAACATTTTTTTTTCCATTTTAAAAATTGCAAAGCACACTTCATGTTCAATGATGAAACCAACAGTTGTAAATAAACTGATTGACATATGGTGCTACAAATTCACTTGAATATTAAATACATTAGCCAACTTACAGCAGAAAGTTTGTTTTTATATCTTTTACACAGGCTTTTAAAATGGACAATTCTTTGTATTTATTTGACAGAATATATACATACATACTTTGAGATTATAAAATCAACAGATTTGCTATAAGCATTATTACAAATAAAAACCTGCAGAGATTAATGTCAGATGAGCAGGATAACTATGCTGTTAGAATAAGCTTTTCCTGCCATCCATGACATGTTTTCTCAAAAATAAAATTTCTCTTTTTAAAGTCCTTCACAAGAATATTTTCTGTGCTTTGAGTTTTAGCTTTCAGATTTCATTTAATATTGCATAGAAATATACACTATAATTAATTAGCATAAACTTTGTTTATGGCAGAATGTCTCCATTCCATTTGACATTTTCTGGTAAAGCTCAAAAATAATTAATTTTAATTTAAAATAAACACTTAAAAAATTAGAATTAAAGAAATTCAAAAATTAATTTTACAAACAATATATATTTGAATTTATTAGTTGATTTATGTAATTTCTGAATTTGATATTTGTTCTAATAACATTATAGGTAAGTTTTTTAAAGTATTAAATTACATAATAATTTATTGCCTATAATCACCAGTGATACAGAAGCAGTTTACCTAGGATCAAACTTTTAAATTGAAAAACTTTTAAAATTTGTTTTAAGTAAATCCATCTTGTTGTTTGTATCCCTTCCTGATGACAAAATTGAAATACCCTAAAACCTTGGTTATGGGTAGCCTTTTATATAGGCTGCAAAAGTGAAAGTTGTAAAAGGATATTGACTTCTTTGTGGATAAGCCACTCTCATATACCAGTATTATGTGCAACTGTAGAATAAAAGCCAATAGTAAAGGAACAGTATTATGAATAACTTTATTTATATAAATCACACTGTTCTATGTACTAGAGTTAATGTATCATGTTGTTTGTCATTTTTACCTATTTTTACGAATGCTTTAAAATTATTATTACTGGTATATTTTACTGCATTTTTCTTTTATACTGTAGTTTTTATCAGTAATTGGGCTTTTCATGTCTTAGTTGCCCTTGTGCATAAGTTGCACACAATGAATTTTACAAGTATAATCTTGTATAGGTCATGGCCTATAGCCAAGGTTTTAGGGTACAGCAAAAATATTTACTAAATCTATTCATTTTTCTACTTCTGTTTAATACTAAAAAATATTCAGAAAAACTTTAGAAAACTTTTTAATCATTAAGGCACAAAATGGGCTATAGATTCAAGAAATAATATTTTATCTTATTTTCATGAATTAAGTTTAATTAAAACTTTCAGTGGTGATGCCATCTCTATGTGATCCCAAGCATAATTTATCTTAAAAATTGAAAATAGACATTTAAACCTTTGAAAAACATATTTTAAAATATTTTTTTTCTTATTCTACAGTTTTTTCATTCTATTAATATTTTTCAAATATAAAAAAAGTTTGGGATTTTGAGACTCCACAAAAACTAAATC